GAGCAGGGGTCTTCTGAGTAGTGAATGTGTAAGAATGTGGTTGAAGGACTGTAACTGTATTTTCTGTCTATTGAGGGTAGTGGGGTCATCCATTCCAAGTTTTTTCTTCTTGTTTTTTTTTTTTTTTAGATTTAAGTCACATCCCAAAACTGTACCATTCACTGAATTTCAGTTTACTCACAAACTTGTGCAGCCATCATTACTATCCAATTCCAGAACATTTTCATTGCCCCACAGAGAAACCTTGTACCTCTTAGCAGTCACTCTCCATTTCCCACTCCCCAGCCCCTTGCAACCACTAATCTACTTCCTGCCACTATGGATTTGCTTATTCTGGACATTTAATACATGGAATCCTGTATTATGTGGACTTTGGTATCTGGGTTCTTTCACCTGGTATAATGTATTCAAGGCTTACCTATGTTGTGTCATGAATCAGTACTTTTTTCTTTTCATAGCTGAACAACATTCTGTTAGATACGCTGTGTTTTTTGTTCATCAATTGATAGGCATTTGGCTTGTTTCCAATTTTTGGCTATTATGAATGATGCTGCTTTGAACATTTGAGTACAAGCTTTTGTGTATACATGTGTTTTCGTTTTTCTCAGGTATGCATATATATAGGAGTGGAATTTCAGGGTCATATAGTAAGTCTAACTTTTAAGGAACTTTTCCAAAGCATCTGAACTATTTTACATTCCCTTAGAAATGCATGAACGTTCCACTTTCTCCACATCCTCACCAACACTTATTCTTGTCTCTCTGAGTATTGCTATCCTAGTGGGTACGAGGTGGTATCTGATTGTGGTTTAGATTTGTGTTTCTCTGGTGGATAAAGTTGAGCATCTTTTCATGTGCGTGTTGGCCATTTTCATATGCATACCAGGCATCTGATATAGCTTTAGAGAGATCTCTATGCACATGTTTCCATTATTTCAAAAACTGGGTTTCTTGTCTTTTTATTACTGAGTTGTTAGACTTCTTCGTATATTCTGGATAACATTCTGTTGTCAAATAGATGATTTGCAGATATTTTCTTGAGTTCCTGGGTTGCCTTTTCACTCCCTTGTGTCCTTTGATGCATGCAAGTTTTAAATTTTGATAAAGTCCAGTTTGTTTTTAGTTGTTGCTTGTGATTTGGCTGTGATTTCTGAGAAACCGTTATCTAATGTCATGCGGATTTTTGTTTTCTTCTAAGAGTTTGATAGGTTTAGATCTTACATTTAAGTCTTTGATCCAGTTGGAGTTTTGAATGTGGTGTGAGGTAGGGATCCAACTTCATTCTTTTGCATGTGGATATCCAGTTGTCACAGCACCATTTGATGAAAAGACCATTCTTTCTCCATTAGATTGTCTTGGTACCCTTGTCAAAATCAATTGACCATATCTGTGGCAGTATGTTTCTAGACTCTCAATTCCATTCCATCAGTTTATATATGTCTTTCCTTATGTACATACCATACTGTCCTGATTACTCTAGCTTTGTAGTAAGTTTTAAAACTTGGGAGTCAAGACCTCTGACTTTTTATTTTTTAAGATTGTTTGGGTATTGTAGTTCTGCTTTACGAGTTTTGTTTTGTTTTGTTTGACAGTCTTGTTCTTGTCACCCAGGCTGGAGTGCACTATTTTAATCTTGGCTTACTGCAGCCTGCGCCTCCTGGGTTCAAGAGATTGTCCCACCTCAGCCTCCTGAGTAGCCGGGATTACAGGCACCTGCCACCAGGCCTGGCTAATTTTGTATTTTTAGTAGAGATGGGTTTCACCATGTTGGCCGGGTGCCTTGTGAGTTTTTTAAATACCTGTTTCTCAGTCCTCTGAGGTTGTCTGGTTTCTTTTTTAAACTGCTTATTTATTTATTTAGAGATGGGAGTCTCATTCTGTTGCCCAGACTGAAGTGCAGTGGTACGATCATAGCTCACTACAGCCTTGAACTCCTGGGCTCAGGATGCCTTCCCACCTCAGCCTCCATAAGTGCTAGAATTACCACTGCACTGATTCATTTCTTGCTAATTCATTTCTTGAGTATGAACTCTTTTTTTTTGTAGATGGAGCCTTGCTCTGTTGCCCAGGCTAGAGTGCAGTGGTGCAATCTCAGCCCACTGCAACCTCCGCCTCCTGGGTTCAAGCCATTCTCCTGCCTCAGCCTCCCATGTAACTGGGATTACAGGCACCTGCCACTGCACCCAGCTAAATTTATATTTTTAGTAGAGACAGGATTTCACCATCTTGGCTAGGCTGGTCTTGAACTCCTGACCTCATGGTCTGCCTGCCTCAGCCTCCCAAAGTGCTGGGATTACAAGCGTGAGGCACTGCGCCCGGCCAAGTATGAACATTTTGTGTTTTTGGTCACATAGGATTGTTTTATATGTTTTTAGATACGGGGTCTTGCTCTGTTGCCCATGCTGGAGTGCAGCAGCACAATCATAGCTCATCACAGCCTCTGACTCCGGGGCTCAAATGATCCTTCCATCTCAGCCTCCTGAGAAGCTGGGCTACAGGTGCATGCCATTATACCTGGCTAATTCTTTTTTAAAATTTGTTTTAGGGACAGGGTCTTGCTGTGTTGCTCAGGCTAGTTTTGAATTCCTGGCCTCAAGTGATCCTCCTGCTTCAGACTCCCAAGTAGCTGGGGGATTATTTTAATTATTTTCACACTGTCAACGTCTCCTGTCCTTACCTGGCATCTCATTCTTACTTCAGCCATGTTAGAGCTCAGTTGTATTTTAACCTTTTATTTATCAAATACATTTTCACGTTTACTAGTAACAATATAAAAGCAGTGATTAGGATGTTTTACATAATCTCTTTTTAGAAAACAGAAGATTTTCCGTTTGCTTTTTACTTATATGGTCTCATGTAATTTTTTTTTCTCTCAGGGTCAGCAGATCTCAATATAAAAGGGAGTCCTGAGTAAGTCATAACTAAAACAAAGTAGTAGAAGTGGTGTTTCCTGCTCTGCCATTAAATATTACGTTCCAGTTGGGAAAACAAGTCCTTCCTACATAAATACCACTGATGAATATTTCTTTATGAACATGAGTAGACATGGAACAGTACTGGGTATGTGACACTAATTGGTTGAAAATAGGATCACAAATGTCATGCAGAGTTTGTAGTTGAATAAGTAAATCTTTCAAATAACTTATCTACCTTTATAAAATGAACCCAAGTGAATTTAAGAGTAAGCTATAGTGAGATATTTAGGAACATGACTGGTAGGTAAAGGGAGGTACACTGTTTCTGGATAGTAGATTTGGTTTGGAAATTATTAATAATTTTCTGGAGAATTAGAAAAGCAGATTACTAAGCAGGCAACTCAGAATTATTTTGTTCAGACTGAGAGTGATGCATTTCCCCAGATGGAACATGAGTTATGTAAAGGGAGTCTCCCAGGCCCTGCCCATATTTTACTGTGATGTCATTGGGGTGCGAGCCATAGCTGATGTGTACATTGAAGAAAGACTTGTTTTAAATTATTGTTCACTTTTACAAGGTGACTAATATGCTGGCTGAATAAACTGAGTTGTCAACTGTTGATATTTTAATATTCCTTGTGGGGAATTTGCCCTGGAAAGGAATCTTGTTTGGGAAATAATACGGGATCGTTAATGTTGGTGGAATAAATTAATTTCTTCCTTTCTTTCCTTCTTCCCTTCCTTCCTTGCCCACCTCCCTTCTCTTTCTCTTCCCTTTCCCCTCCCCTCCCCTCCCTTCTCCTCTCTTCTCCTCCCTTCCCTTTCCTCTTTTGCCTTTTTCCTTTTATTTTTTTTTTTTCCTTTCCTTTCCTGGCTCATGGGTATGTCAGAGCATTCGTGGTTCTGAATTCTGTAACGCTTAATTAGTCATGAAATAAATTTATAGTACTACTTTAAGATCACTCTGGTTTTTAATTGCTTTTTAGACAGTACTAATTAAATTATAATCTTGTTATTTTAGACTTAACTATGAACTGTTGTTCATGTGTTGCTTATAATGAATATTGAGTTCTATGTTTTTTATTGTGAAATACAATATACTCTTTACTATTTCAGCCTTTTAAGTGCACAGTTTAGTAGCATTGAGTACATTTCATATTGTTGTATCACCGTCACCACCATCTAGTCACAGAACTTTTTCATCTTGTAAAACCGAAACTCCATCTCCATTAATTAAGAACTCCCCTTTCCCATTTTCCCCCAACCCCTGGTAACTCTCATTCTACATTGTGTCTCTCTGAATTTGACTACTCTAGGTTATCTCATATCAGTGGAATCATAGTCCTTTTGTGACTTGCTTATTTCACTTAGCATGATGTCTTCAAGGTTCATTCATGTTGGAACATCAGTATTTCCTTCCTTTTTAAGGCTGAACGCTTTGCCACTGTATGTATATATATTTTGTTTATTTGTTCATTTGTCGATGGGTGCTTGAGTTGCTTCTACATTTTAGCTGTTGTAATAATGCTGCTGTGAACATGGGTACACTTCAGTGCTGTTTTTACAAAGGCAGTGCATAGCAGCTAGGCTCTTTTTAATTTGAGCAGTATTCTAAACCAAGAGAAAGCTGTTTATCTTTTGGATTTTTGGTAGGTGTTTTTTTGTTTTTCCAGACTAAATTTAAGGCTTAAATTTGTAACTGCTATTTAATCACTGCTTTGCATTCTTTTTTTTTTTTTTCCCCTGGAGAGGGACTCACTCTGTCATCCAGGCTGGAGTGTAGTGTCATGATCTTGGCTCACTGCAACCTCTGCCTCTTGGGTTCAAGTGATTCTCTTGTCTCAGCCTCCTGAGTAGCTGGGGTTACAAGCATCTACCACCACGCCCGGCTAATTTTTGTATTTTTTTGTAGGGACGTGGTTTTACCACGTTGCCTATGCCACTACTTTTCTTTCTAAGCACTTTATCAGCAAGAAGTTTTCAGTGGTGAATGTGTCATTTAAAATTTGTAGTAATACAATTTAATTCAACTGACTAGTAACATTTGATGGTACACTAGCTATAGCATTTTATATTAAAATGCATTTCATATTAAAATGCTTTTCATATATCTGACCCTTACACTTGCTTTAAATCTCACTGCGTTTATTTGTTTGGGTGTGTGTCCTAGATGTTCTGCTTGTGTACGTATTCCCAACTGTCCTTTGAAAAAGCCTTCTCTTAATAGCCTTCAGTCCACAGGGTTGGAGTGGGAATTTTATTTGAGAAAAAAGATTGAGTGAAATAGTGAAGATAGTTCTTTACATATTAAAGCCCATCTTTGATGGATGTTAGATGTAAGGGACATTTGTAAGTTGCTGTCTCTAGGATAAAATGAGTTTAGGTTTGATGTATTATGAAATGATTTTTTTGTATAATATTGGATTTTCCAGGGGTTGGTTACTTGATCATACCCTTTAATTCTTCCAAGTTGTTTGTTTTACCTGATGACATACATGGTAGGGGGTGGCAGAGGGAGAAGCAGTTAAGAGGAGAGGAAGGAAACTTGAATACCGAAGGGCAGCATTTGGCTTCCTTCTTAATTCAAGATAATTTGAAATGAAGGAACTGCACTGTTTTGGGGGAAATGTTTGATTAAGCAGCCATTTTTTTCAGGCCTGCATTCTAGATGTATTCTGTATGAGAACTACACTTACAGTTCTTCTGCGTGGACCAAATGTTCTTGTAACAAACTAATGACTAACTTTGTGGTGGGTGGTGAGTCACAGTAGATTTCCCAGGAGTTGATAATGTGCTTGTATGTGATAGAGATTTGGCCATGAGGAGCCAGCCGATACAATCCGGTCTGATTCCATTAAGCAGTGGTTTTAAGAAACTCTCCTGGACCCCTGGGCCTGAGGAAGTGTAGAGGTAAAATTGCATGTTTGAAAAGTTGTTGCAGTGTGGCTGAGACTTTCCTGTAGCATTTCTGTGATAGTCTAGAGTGGATTTAAACACAAAACATTAGAAATAGACTTTAATGCTAGTTGACCACAGTAGAACAGATTTGTCTTTTTTGCGTTATATAGCTCTAAAATTTTCCTTTTGATTCTCTTTGCTATTTGCTTGAAAAATATATTGGCTAAAAGAAAGACCACTAGCTACTTAGTACTTCTTGATTCCGTATTTAAAAATAAATGTAAAATAACTGATGTGAGAAAAGTTAAGTTTTGGCCAGCACAGGGCAGGAAGTTTTTGTTTTGTTTTGCTTTTTTGCATTTGGCTTAATTATATGAGTTAAGTGAAAAAAAACAATAACCTTTCTTGATCGTGGAAACACTCTTAAGATAACGAATATGACATTGACATTTGGCCAAGGTTCTTTAGGAAATACAGAATAACTCTGACATGGTATTTTTCCTTGCTTTAGAGCTTATCTTTTTTTTTTCCCCCTTAAAGACAGAATCTCACTCTGTCGCCCAGGCTGGAGTATAGTGGCATCATCTTTGCTCACTGCAACCTCTGCCTCCCGAGTTCGAGTGATTCTCCTGCCTCAGCCTCCCGAGTACAGGCCTGTGCCACCACGCCTGGCTAATTTTTTGTATTTTTAGTAGAGATAGAGTTTCACCATGTTGGCCAAGCTGATCCTGAACTCCTAACCTCAAGTGATCTACCCGTCTTGGCCTCCCAAAGTGATGGGATTACAGGCATGAGCCACTGTGCCCAGAAGAGTTTATCTTTTTATAGTGGAGATAAGACAAACAGAAACAGCTTCATACTTTGGGTCAGAAAAATATAAGAATATAAACATATGAGAACATAAACAAGCCATGGCCAATACTTTTTAAAAACAGCTGTATGTAGACAGAATTCACTCCCATACAAGTCAACCAATTCAGTGTTTTCAGCATGCTCACAGTGTACAGCCATCAGCACAATCAATTTCAGAACATTTTCATCACCCCGAAAGAAACTGTACCTGTTAGCAGTCACTCCTTGGCCCTAGACAACACTAATTTATTTTGTCTCTATAGATTTCCCTAGTCTGGGTATTTCAAATAGGTGGAATTCTACAAGATATGTTTTTTGATGACCGGCTTTTTTCACTTAGTGTTAGCTTCATTCACTATGTAGCTTGTATCAGTTTTTGATATAGTTTGGCTGTGTCCTCACCCAAATCCCATCTCGAATTACAGCTCCCATAATTCCCTTGTGTTGTGGACGGGACCTAGTGGGAGATAATTGAATCATGGGGTCAGTTTCTCCCGTACTGTTCTCATGGTAGTGAATAAGTCTCACGAGATCTGCTGGTTTTATAAGGGGAAACCCCTTTCACTTGACTCTCCTCTGCCATGTGAGGTGTGCCTTTTTCCTTCTGTCATGATTGTGAGGCCTCTCCAGCCACGTGGAAGTGTGAGTCTATTAAACCTCTTTCTTCTGTAAATTGCCCAGTTTCTGGTCTGTCTTTATCGCATTGTGAAAATGAACTGATACAGTTCTTCATTCCTTTTTATTGCTCAGTAGTCTTCTGCACTAGGGATATACCACACTTATCCATTTGTCAGTTGATGGACGTTTGGATTTTATCTGCTTTTTGGCTCTAATGAGTATCCAAATAATGGTGCTGTGAACATTTGCGTACAAGTTTTGTGTACTCTGGGATAGGTATCTAGGAGTGAGATTGCTGGGTCAGATGGTAACGTTGTTTAACTTTTTGAGAAGCTGCTGGACTGTTTTCCAAAGTGACTGCACCATTTTACATTCTCACCAGTAATGTGAGAAGGTTCTAATTACTTCACATCCTTGCCAACCCTTATGATGATCTGTCTTTTGATGGCAATTATCCCAGTGGGTGCGAGGTGGTATTTCATTGTGGTTTTAATTTGTGTTCCAATGTTGAATGATATGGAACATCTTTTCTTGTGCTCATTGGCCATTTTTGTATCTGTTTTGGAAAGATATATATTCACTTCCTTTGCCTATTTAAAAATTTGATTGCCTTTTCTTTTTTTTTTTTTTTCTTAGACAGGGTCTTACTCTGTTACCTAGGCTGGAGTGCGCGGTGCCATCACAGCTCACTGCAGCCTTGACCTCTCTGCTCCAAGCCATCCTCCCTCCTCAACCTCCTGAGTAGCTGGGATCATGGGCTCCCACCACCATGCCTGGTTATTAATTTTTTTTTTTTTCTGTAGAGACAGGGTCTGCGTGTTGCCTAGACTGGTCTCAAACTCCTGCACTGAAGGAATCTTCACAACTTGGCCTCTCAAAGTGTTGGGATTACATGTGTGAGCCATTGCACCTGGCCTATTTGTGTTTTTATTATTGAGTTGTAAGGGTTCTTTATATATTGTGATGCAAGTTCCTTATTAGATATATGATTTGCAAATACTTTGATTCTCTTTTCCACTGTTGATGGTGTCCTTTGAAGCACACAAGTTTTTAATTAAAACTTTTTTTGTTGTTTTTAGAGACAGGATCTTTTTCACCCAGGCTGTAGTGCAGTGGTATAATCATAGCTCACTGCAACCTTGAACTCCTGGGCTCAAAGAATCTCTTACCTGAGCCTCCCCAGTAGTTGGAACTATAGGCATGTACCACCATACCTGGCTAATTTTTTTTTTTGTTTATTTGTTTTTAGAGATGGGGATCTCACTATGTTGCCTAGGCTGGTCTTGAACTCCTGGACTTAAGTGATCCTCCCATCTCAGCCTCCCAAAGTTCTGGGATTATGGGCATGAGTCACCATGTCTGGCCCCAGAGTTTTTAATTTTGATGAGGTCCAGTTTATCTTGTTGTTGTCTGTGTTTTGGGTGTTCATTTCCTAACCCAAAGCCATGTGGATATATACTTACATATACTTCTAATAACTTTATGGTTTTAGTTCTTATATTCATCTCTTTGATCTGTTTGGAGTTTTGAATGTGGTGTGAGGTAGGGATCCAACTTCATTCTTTTGCATGTGGATATCCAGTGTCTCGTTACCGTTTGTTGAAAAGACAATTCTTTCTCCAGTGGGTTGGTCTAGGCACCCTTGTCAAAATCAATTGACCATAAATGTGACAGTGTATATTTCTGGACTCTGAATTCTATTCTGTTGATTTATATATGTCTTTCCTTATATAAGTACCACACTGTCTTGATTACTGTGGCTTTGTAGTAAGTTTTGAAATTGGAGAGTTATGCTCTCTTTTTCAAGATTTTAATCTATTCTGAATCTTTTGTGTTTCCATATGGATTGTAAGACCTTGTTTTGTTGATTTTTGTAAAAAAGTTAGTTGAGATTTTGATAGGGTTGCCTTGAATCTTGTAGATCTATTTGCGGAGTATTGTCATTGTAACAGTGTTTTCTTTCAGTTCATGAACATGCAGTATCTTCTGGTCTATTTAAGTCTTCAATTTTTTTAAACAAGTTTTTTTAAAAAAAAAATATAGTTTTATGTATTTTGGGGGTACATGTGAAACTTTTCTTTCTTTCTTTTCTTGTTCTTTTTTTTTTTTTTTTGAGACGAGGTTTTGCTCATCTCCCAGGCTGGAGTGCAGTGGCATGATCTCAGCTCACTGCAACTTGTGCCTCCTGGGTTCAAGCGATTCTCCTGCCTCAGCCTCCTGAGTAGCTGGCATTATAGGCACCCACCACCACTCCTAGCTGATTTTTGTATTTTTAGTAGAGACTGGGTTTCACCATGTTGGCCAGGCTGGTCTGGAACTCCTGACCTCAAATGACCCACCTCGGCCTCTCAAAGTGCTGGGATTACAGGTGTGAGGCACTGCACCCGGCCACATGTGATGTTTTGGTACATGTATACAGTGTGTATAGTGACTAAATCAGGTTAATTGGAATATACCTCACAAGTCTTTAATTTCTTTCAACAATGTTTCAGAATTTTCAGTGTACAAGTCTTGCATTTCTTTTATATTTATTCCTAAGTATTTTGATAAATTGTTTACTTAATTTCATTTTCAGATTTTTCATTGCTGGTATATAGCAACACAACTGATTTTTGTATATTATTCTTGTATTCTGCATAAATTGTTTATTTTCAGATTTTTAGTGGATTCCTTAGGATTTTCTCTGTCTTAGGATTTACTTCTTCCTTTCCAGTCTGGATGCCTGCTGTTAATTTTTCTTGTCTAACTGCCCTGACCAGAATTTCTAGTACAGTAGTGAGGAGAAATTGGGTAGCAGACACCCTTGTCTCACTCCCGATGTAGGGTGGGAAGCTGCCCAGCCCTTCACTGTTAATTGCGATGTTAGCTGTGGGTTTTTCTTGGTGCTCCTTATCAGGTGGAGGAAGTTCTTTTTTGTTTTGGTGTTACTCCATTGAATGTTTGCATTAAGAAAGAGTATTGAATTTTTGTCAAATGGCTTTTCCGAATTACTTTTAAAAATGACTATTTTTCTTGCTTTTTGTCTGCAGAGATTGACTTGCATACCAAATGTGTGGTGGATGTGGATGCAAACAAGGTTATTCTTAATCCTGTAAATACGAATCTTTCCAAAGGAGATGCCCGGTAAGTTAAGCAATGGTGCTGTGTTCGGTGGATGTTTAAGTAACTGGAAGCAGCTGTGGCTGCTGAATTAAGTTGCACTGAACAGATACCAAATGCCTACCCTGTAGAGACGTATTGCTGTCTTCTGCGAGCCTGTACTCAAGGTGAAGAGATGAAGTCTATAATATGGGAAGACAAGGTGCCTGAATGAGTATTAGAGGTAGTGATTGCATTAGAAGCACGGACAGGAGAGTAAGTGTTAAGTTGAGAACCAATTGAGGAAGGCTTCTTGAAGGAGGTGCAGCTGGCAAGAAGATTAGGTAGGATGTTAACTGGTTCCTTAGCATGAGTTTCGGCTTTTACTGCTGCCAGTTCAAATGCTGTCTGTCAGAGCGCCCATTTTAAGTGCTATCTTCATGAAGGTGTGCCTGCAGCCCTCAGTGATTTCTTTCCTTAAATATCTGTCAGCTACAATCTGTCCTACCTATTTTAATGATCATAGATTGCTTTGGATTGTTTGTTCCAGCTGTACAGTGGATTTTAATGTCTTTGGGGAAAGAGACCCTGTCAGGGGCTGAGGATGAATATTTGAGCATCAGTTCTAGATGTGGATGGTAGTATGAACAAAATGAAAGGGAAGAACATGAATTTGGGGCAGGAAAAGATTATTTTTGGTTTTCTTAGTAAATGGAGGACAGTAAATGAGCTGGGATCAGATTACAGAAGACCTGGAGAGCAGAAGAGGAAATTTGGCCTGTAGTCTGTCAGGAAGTTTGTTGTTGACAGTTTTTGAGTAATACGATTGAGGATCAAGGTGGATTAGGAAAAGTTGTTGGTTGGCAATGTAGAGAATGGGTCAGAGTGGGGATAGGCTGACTTTTATGGAGATCAGCTGTATCAGAAATGTTTCCGTAGTGGCCCTGAAAGTAGAGAGACAGGTGAAAGACGTCTGACTTGAGGCTTTGTGCAAAGTAGATACTTCATAAATCTTTCTAGAAACTGTGCCATATTTGGCACTCTGCAGATGTTCTTTTGAGTTGAGTCTAATTGAGTTGGAAAGAGCACTGGAGTTGGAGTGAGGAAATCTGGAATCAAATCCTTCATAATGTTATCATAGCAAATTTTTAATTTTTTTGAACCTGTCTTATGTATCTCACAAAGGTTTTTTTCCAAAGATCAAATTAGTGATTTTTAAAAGATCTTGCAAAGTGTTCTGTATATGGGGAGGTTGTTATTGATGTAGAGACACATACAGCAAAATATACAGCTTGATGAATTTTCATAGTGAACATGCTCCTTACCTTATGTAAGTGGCATCCAGATAAGAAACAGAATAAGTGGCATCCAGATAAGAAACAGAATGTTACTATCATGTCAAGAGACTACATCAGGAGAAGTAGTTTTTCTTTTCTTTTTTCTTTTTGAGGCAGAGTCTCACTCTGTTGCCCAGGCAGGATTGCAAGGGTGCCATCTTGGCTCAGCAACCTCCGCCTCCCAGGCTCAAGTGATTCTCATGTCTCAGCCTCTTGAGTAGCTGGGATTACAGGCATGCACTACCATGCCCAGCTAATTTTTGTAGTTTTAGTAGAGACAGGGTTTCACCATGTTGGCCAAGCTGGTCTCGAACTGCTGACCTCAAATGATTTGCCTGCCTTGGCATCCCAAAATGTTGGGATTACAGGTGTGAACTACCGTACCTGGCCAGAAATAGTTTTTCTTTTAATTTAATACCAAGATAAAAAGAGGAAACAGAAATTTGGAATATAGCAGTACAGTGGCATATGTTGACTTCATTAAATTTGAGGAAAAATAGGAAGAAAAGCATAAATTAAAAGCTGGATTTTATTAATGATGTGAGGTTAATTATTGCCTAGCTTGTAGAATAACAGACCAGTCCATAAAACAAGATATGATTTTATATTACCTATATTTGTAACTGGAGAGCCAGAGATTTGAAATTAACATGAAAGTGATTTGAACCATCAGAGAGGCTCAATTTAATATTTTTCCTTTAAAAGCTATAGCATCCTTGTTCTTCTGATAACTGATTCTATTACTGTAAAACCATGACTAATTTTAAATATATACTTTATAACTCAAGTTATGCTTTAAAAGTGAACATTTATAAAATTTAAAACATTGGTTGATATATTTTTCTGATTAATTTTACATAAACTCCTGAAAATGTCATAATGATTTGATGTTTACTAAAATTTCTTGAAATCGTGCTTAAACAAATAGTAAGCCACTTGAGGTTTTAGTGCTTAGTCGTGGATATCTGGGAAGCATTTTTGGTCTGTTTCATATGGAATTTCAGAACTGTTTTGAAGCATAAGATATTTAAAATTCAGAAAATTCACAGGACAAGGTCGACGGGAGATTAAGATCACCGACTTCAGAGTCAGGCATCCTGGATTGAATCTCACCTCCACCATTTAATGTGTGTGACCCTGGTCAAGTTACATAATTCTCCTCTGCCTCAGTTTACTCCTTTGCTAAGGGGAGAATATTATAGTACTAGCCTATAAGATTGTTATGAGGATTCCAGTTAAAATGTGTCAAATAATAATGCCTGGTGCACAGTAAACCCTATGCATGAGCTATTAATTTTATTATTACTGTTACTATTACGGCCTGTATTTAAGTTGTAGTCCATGTTGTCTTCATTGAGCTGTAATATAACTTCATAAAATTATTCCTTTTTTTTTTTGAGACAGAATTTCTTTCTGTTGCCCAGGCTGGATCATACAGTGGTATGATCTCAGCTCACTGAAATCTCTACCTTCCAGATTCTAGTGTTTCAGTCCCCTAAGTAGCTGGGATTACAGACATGCACCACCACACCTGGCTAGTTTTTATATTTTTGGTAGAGATGGGATTTTGCCGTGTTCTCCAGGCTGTTCTTGAACTCCTGACCTCAAGTGATCCACCCACCTTGGCCTCCCAAAGTGCTGGGGTTTACACGCGTGAGCCACCACACCCGGCCAAGTTAGTACATTTTTATTTTATTTTTGAGACAGATCTTGCTCTGTTGCCCAGGCTGGAGTATAGTGGTGCCATTTCTGCTCACTGTAACCTCTGCCTGCCTTGTTCAAGAGCTCCTTCCGCCTCAGCCTCCCAGGTAGCTTGGACCACAGGTGTGCACCACCAGGCCCAGCTAATTTAATTGTTGTGCTGATTTTTTTTTTTTTTTTTTTTTTTTTTTAGTAGGGATACAGTTTTGCCATGTTGGCCAGGCTGGTCTCAAAGCCCTGACCTCAAGTGATCCACCTGCCTCAGCCTCTGAAAGTGCTGGGATTACAGGTGTGAGACACGACACCCAGCCAGTTATTAAAAAAAAAATTTTTTTTTTGAGGCTGAGTCTTGCTCTGTTGCCCAGGCTGGAGAGAAAGGGTGCGATCTTGGCTCACTGCAACCTCTGTCCCCACCTCCACCAGGTTCAAGAGATTCTCCTCCCTCAGCCTTCCGAGTAGCTGTGATTACAGGCACCCACCACCATGCCCAGCTGCTTTTTGTATTTTTAGTAGAGATGGGGTTTTGCCATGTTAGCTAGACTGGACTCGAACTCCTGACCTCAAGTGATCTGCCTGCCTCAGCCTCCCAAAGTGCTGGGGTTTACAGACATGAGCCACCACACCCAGCCAGTCACTACATTTTTAAGTCAAAATGTATTCAATTTCAAATACTTGAGTATTGAAATTGCCTAGTTACAGAGAAATTTGAGCTTTGAGAGGTCAGAAACTTTATTTTACTCAGTTTGCTTAATGTTGAGTGGGGTCTTGGGGACTAACATACCATCTCTTAAGGAGACAGGCAGGACCTCTGATTTTATGGTTACAGTGAATAAAACATTAATCTCAGCAATCTGTTCTCCTTCTTAGTATCAAATAAACGAAAAACCAGGTCAAAACATTGCTGTGAACATAGGATAAGAATGAAGGCACGTTTTTGTCAAATATGGAAAAGATAAATGACAAACTCTCCCTATTCCACACCACTGCTTGGAACACTCTAGTGACTGAGATACTTGAATCCACCAGATCAGTCTAGTTCTTCTGTGTAGAATCCTGGATACACATGATACATTTTGTCACTTACTTGCTCATGCAGAGCCACGCTGCTATACTGTTAGAACAACCAGTATCTTTTTGGAATTATCTTCTTCCCCTCAATCAGTTTTCTAGATTGGTCCTTGGGATTTTCAAAATCATTGTCAGCAATATATTTCTAAATTGCTTCCCTTTAAATAACTAAATAAATCTTTAGGCCTTATTTATTTTATTTGAATTATATCTTAAATCTTTAGGCCTTATTTTATTTGAATTACATCTTTTTTTTTTTTTTTGAGAGAGAATTTCTGTTTCTTGTTGCCCAGGCTAGAGTGTAATGGTGTGATCTCAGCTCACTGCAACCTCCGCCTCCCAGGTTCCAGCTGTTCTCTTGCCTCGGCCTCCCCAGTAGCTGGGATTACAGGCATGTGCCACCATGCCCAGCTAATTTTGTATTTTTAGTAAAGATAGGGTTTCTCCATGTTGGTCACTGTCTCTGACCTCAAGTGATCCGCCTGCCTCGACCTCCGAAAGTGCTGGATTATAGGCGTGAGCCACCCTGCCTGGCCTGAATTATATCTTAAAACTTATTAAACGTTTATCCTGTAATGAAATTTATTTATTTACTTTTGTTTGGAAGCCCCAGTGAGATTGTAATGAAATGTCAATGCCCGTGACCATGTTAGGGCAAGTAGTTTCTTGTTTGGGGGTTTTGGTGGTGGTGGTGGTTTGTTTGAGACAGGGTCTTTCTCTCTTGCCCAGGCTGAAGTACAGTGGCACAATGCAAATAGTTTCTTTCTTTCTTTCTTTCTTTTTTTTTTTGAGACAGAGTCTTGCTCTGGTGCCAGGCGCCAGGCTGGAGTACAGTGGTGCGATCTTGGCTTGCTGCAACCTTCGCCTCCCAGGTTCAAGCAATTCTCCTGCCTCGGCCTCCCAAGTAGCTGGAACTACAGGTGCACGCCACCATGCCCA